ATGATGATGCCCCCAACCCCATCCTAAACCGGGACCATAGCCCCAACCATATCCCATTGTTGCACCTAACATCATACCCGTAGCAAAGCCATCCCCACCACCACCTCTATCATTCTGCACAACAACAGTTTGTTGTGCTGGTCCTCTAGCGCCGCCACCTCTTTGTACAGGGTAAGGTCTTCCACCTTGTTGAAATCCTTGTTGAGAAGGTAGTCCAGGATATGGTGGAGGATAATCTGAAATTATAATTGAAATCATAACTGACTGCATACATCACCTGCTGAAGGCCTTTATGAATGGAAAAAAATACAACATCAGAAGGCTGTTAAGATACCGGTAATTAGAAATATGATCATAGGCAAATAAGAGATTCACACAACTCATCATCAATATCTGGTCTGACCCTTTCCACAGGCTACACAATAATTAGTAAATTTGTATGCTAACTGTAAACCACTAAAGTTGTATTTATATGCAGTTTGTAACTTCGTTTGAACAGGGACAAATAATAATAATAGCCATAATAAGCTGGTAAATATGAATTTTTACAGTTATACTTAAATCATGAGATAAGACAAGAGGTTACAGATACGACTATTATGTCCCTACTTTTGTGGGATAGTTACATGAACCAGCATGAGACAGGTGTCAGTCCCTTGTAATCTTTACCTTGTGTGACATTAGGTTGGAACCCTGGTGGTGGTGCCCCTGACTGGTTAACTTGTGGCATTGCCGCATTTTGCTGATTTGGAGGAGGAAGCCCTCTAGCTTGATGTAGCGCTTGTAACCATGCACTGTAATGAAGAAATATATAGAATTATTGTTAACTTTTTTAATCACGTATACATGTACCATGCATGTTAAACTAATCAAATCACAATGTACACATAACAAGCAGCTGGTCGGCTGAGATAGCTCCGCTGTTAGTAATGCACATTTCAATTAAAGAACAGAAGATATCATTAGAAAATGAACAATATGTACAGTATCGAAGCAATGGGACTTGCTGTTTTCAACAAGGAGTCAAAAATATCACTTTTCACCAACATTACAATGACAAAAATAATCATCAAAATTAGATAATTGAAAATATCACCACGAAATTAACAAATCTGAAAGAGGTCCACACGTAGTACCTGTATATGTAATATCAAAGCAATTGATTTTTAACAAAAAGTCGAAAATCCAAATACTTTTTACCAAAAATATTCACCAAATTTAGAGAATTAAAGATATCATTACAAATTGAACAAATCTGAGAGAGGTCCACATGTAGTACCTATATATATATAATATCAAAGCAATTGAACTTGCGGTTTTTAACAAGAAGTTGAAAATGTCACTTTTTTACCAAAAATGACAAAAATATTCACTAAAATTAGAGAATTAAAGATATCATTACAAAATGAACAAATCTGAGAGAGGTCCACATGTAGTACTTATATATTTTCAAGAAGAAGTCGAAAAAGTAAAACATTGACACGGACGACGACGGACAATCACTCAAATGATAAGCTCCGCTCGACAAAATCGACAGCAGAGCTAAAAATTTTCTTCAATTCATAATGTTGGGTTGCGATGGTCCATCTAGTAAATAACCAGGCTAGAATCAGAGTGATCTATACGTCTTTTATTGACAGACAATATGAGAAGAACAAACACAAGGCATTGTGGTACAAGTCATTAAATATGCATTACTGTCTCAGCCAATCAGAAAGCACATCAATCCTTAACGTAGCAAACATGATAAATACACAAAATGAACTAGCTCAAATTAAGTTCATCCTAACACATGACATTTCATTTCCATCAAACTAACTTCTCAAATCACATGTCATTTGCATCAAACCATTTTCAAATCATGTGTCATTTGCATCAACTCTCTTCAAATCATGTCATTTCCATCAAACCAACTTCTCAAATCACATGTCATTTGCATCAAATCATCTTCAAATCATGTCATTTCCATCAAATCAACTTATAATTCCAAATTCAAATTTATGTCATACTAATTAACTTACATTAACTCATTCTGGTCTGCAGACAGCACATAGTGCGTCTTTTTACCAGTAGTAGATAGAGCAATCATATTACCAATATTATCATGTACACTTGGTAATTTAGGTGCATCGTGTGAACACTGTTGTCCAATTCGTAACATGGATACTTCACGTTTGATATTGACTAGGCCTTCTCTAGATCCACCTGGTCCTTCGTACCATGCAAGATGACCATCTTGATATAAAACAAAGTATCTTTTCTTCCAACTTTTAAATAAAAAACCTCCTATGAAACAAGAATAAATATCAAATAGAAAATGTGACACTTGGCAGTTAAGTCAATGAAATTTTACTATACTATAAAATTGTTATTTTTGACCATTAGAAACTCTGGGGGCAGAATTGGAAAAAATAATTTGCATAGAAAAAAATCCTGAATAAAAATCAATAACAGAAAACGAAATATTCAACATACAAAAAATCATCGTGGAATAATTAAAAATTAAAAAATTAGCACAAAACTAAATAAAGAAAAACAAATATTTTGCACAATTTAGCTGCCAACGCCTCTCCCAGAGTCTCTAATGGTCCATCCCTCACTATTCACTATAATTGTGTTTTGCATTTATTCATTTTGCTGATCAGGTCAGATTGACACTTCATGTTTTTCCATGTGATAGTATAATAGTATCAAGAATGCTGCTAGAATGGTTTGTATTTT